GTGGTCATTCGTGGGCAAGTTCTGGTCATCTCGGTCCTGACAAGCATGCACGTGATGTAGAATACTTGGATTCTTATGCATTGGAAAGATGGGAGGTAAGACAAATATCTCAACTTATTTGTTAGTGTTTTTTCTTACATCAAAACATTCTCAACTTTTTAAACAGTGGTGTTTATTTTATTTATTCTCTCCATTCCTTTTACCGTAGGAGCTCACTAGTTTAAAAAATTAAAAAATTATCTCATTTAGTCCCAGTTTAAACCGTTTTCACCATCAATTCCCTTTTTTATTACAAAATATTCCTGCTTATAGTCTTTTCTTTCCTTCAGAAAACTGGGAAAAAAATAGCCAAATTTTTTGAGTAAAAAATGAAAATTGCCTGTAAGTTGTTTTTTTAATAGGAACACATACATGAATATTCAATGATAGAAGCATTGAACAACGCCTTTATTTCATTTTTCGAGTGAGTGATTGGTTTGTGTCAACCAGGCACTGCACATGTATGGAACATACTATACATTATTTCCATTTTTATTTCAGTGTGTGTTGCATTTCTTGGTTGGATCTCGTGGCGTGGATAGTGTCAGCAGAGATATAGCATTAGTACTAAATAAATCAGGTCTTATGAAACCGTAAGTAAAAATTTTTTGAATGTTACAATTTTGTCCCACTAAATTGATTGTAATATTCTCTAAAAAAAATTTATTTATTTTTGCACAAATTGTCATAATTTTCATCTGGCTGCCCTTGATACCATTTTTTGAAAATTCAGATTTGTTTTTATTTAATAAAAAGATAACACCTGATATGTGTTGTCGTTATTGAATTCAGCATAATATGAAAATATTAATATTAATAATGATTGATCCTTACTAGTTATTAAATACTGATATCTTTAGTTACAATATTTTGGGTTATAAATACTTCTTTGTGAAGTTTTGTGACATATTTTCAAATTCTAAGAAAGCTATTCTTTTGTTCACTCAAGTTGTTTCACCACATTTTTCTAATATTTGTTCACTAATAAATAAGACCTGCAGGCAGTTAAAAAAATTAGTGTAATTAGGCCAGACAAAAGAAAAATTTTCATCTGACTACCGGTACATCTGCCCAATCTTGTTTTTAGCTCCGCTGTCAACTTTATCTAACGGAGCTTTATCATATGAGTGATTGTCCGTTGCCCTGCCTGCGTCTGTCATTCGTGTCAACTTTTTATTTTTTGAACTTCTTTTTTAAAACTACAAGCCTGAATGTTTTGATACTTGGTGTATATGTACTTTGGGTAGACCTTTCTTAGATTTGTTCATTTCATGATGATATCTTCAATTCTCTAATTTTGATGAATATTTTTGTCATTTTTGGTAAATAGTGATATTTTTGACTTCGAAGTCCGAATGCTTTAATACTATACATATTGCTCATTTTCCAATGATATTTTCAGTTCTTTAGTTGAAATGTGCCTTGCTAACAGCAGAGCTATCTCAGCCGACAGGCTGCTTGTTTATTTTTTTATTTGCACCAAAAATTTACTCAATCTTTGATGAAACTGTGAGTTTCACAAACTGCGAGACCTCAGACAAAGACTTAGTCAGTACATCTTCCCAACTGCATTCGTAGCAATTGTTCACTGCCGACGGTGTTTGCAATATTGTCTTTGAATTTTTCATTCATTGTTCAAAGGACATTCGAGATGAGTACGGTCTAACAAATATGGAATACAAAGGGGATTAAAAAGCCTTGATCTGTGTTTTTGCAAATTGTTGAATCCAAGTAATATTGAGGTGAAATTACCTTAAGTGCAAAATAAAGACACACATGAGTAAAAATTATGTTCAGACTATGTTCATGGCAACACATCATGGTGTAAATAAATTGTGTCTTCATTTATTTTGTAAGAATGGAAGAAGGAGGCACTCCTGTGATTACTCAAGCTGGATTTCAATTTCTACTCATGGATACCCCCTCTCAAGTTTGGTATTTCATGTTACAGTATTTACAAAGTGCTGAGGTAAGAAAACACAAACTATCATATTGCTATACTCAAATAATTCTCTGGGATGCCTAGAACTCAGACTACTGAGGTAAGAAAACACAAACTATCATCTTGCTATGGTCAAATAATTCTCTGGGATGCCTAGAACTCAGTTAGACTTCTACTGCTGAGGTGAGAAAACACAAACTATCATCTTGCTATGGTCAAATAATTCTCTGGGATGCCTAGAACTCAGTTAGACTTCTACTGCTGAGGTGAGAAAACACAAACTATCATCTTTCTATGGTCAAATAATTCTCTGGGATGCCTAGAACTCAGTTAGACTTCTACTGCTGAGGTGAGAAAACACAAACTATCATCTTGCTATGGTCAAATAATTCTCTGAGATGCTGAGAACTCAGTTAGACATTTGAGGTAAACAGCCCTGCAAACAAGTTGAACAGAAGAATTTTGCTGGCCTTACAGCAAGCATACCATAGAGTATTGTAACATCCCCCACTACATGTCTGATTGCATTCAATACCATAGAGTATTGTAACACCCTCCACTACATGTCTGATTGCATTCAATACCATAGAGTATTGTAACATCCTCCACTACATGCCTGATTGCATTCAATACCATATAGAGTATTGTAACATCCTCCACTACATGTCTGATTGCATTCAATACCATAGAGTATTGTAACATCCTCCACTACATGCCTGATTGCATTCAATACCATAGAGTATTGTAACATCCTCCACTACATGTCTGATTGCATTCAATACCATAGAGTATTGTAACATCCTCCACTACATGCCTGATTGCATTCATACCATAGAGTATTGTAACATCCTCCACTACATGTCTGATTGCATTCATACCATAGAGTATTGTAACATCCTCCACTACATGTCTGAATGCATTCAATACCATAGAGTATTGTACATCCTCCACTACATGTCTGATTGCATTC